CTATTGTACTTTGGTTAATTAAGGTTAGTTGCAGAGCTGTAGAACACTTAACTTTTAATCCATAAAAATAGAAAGTGGAGAATAAAGAAAAAGGGAAGGAAACATAACAAAAACAAAAAGGCGAAAAAACAACGCAACATATAGAATTCATTAATATTTATCCATCCCCCAGGCTATTCTTCATATCCAACTGACGCTTGACGGACCATCATGTGATAATCATTCAAATTTGGATCCAATTTAACTGATCACAACATCAAACAAGGCTAAGTTTTAATTCTTCGATTCAGTTGTAAAAATCTTCTTACAAGCAACTTATTAAAGCCTACAAGTTATCCTTTCAAATCTGCCACTCGGAGGGCTTAAAGCTCCCGGATATATATCACGTTATTCTTTGCGATGCCAAATAATGGAAGATGAGAACAATACACCATCGATTTAATAGTGTATTTGTTTGGAGACGAGATTGATCAATATACTGGCCTAGAAACGAGGCTGCTTAAGTAATAGACCATCGACCAACCTCGTATACAGGCGCGGCCGCCGGGCTGTTTATTCATGAGTGAATGAAAGACATGACGTTCAGGGCTATCCGAGGAGATAGCTGACGTTTTAACTTTAACTGATGCATCAACGAAAAACAAAAAAATGGGAGAATACACAAGAGTCACACAATGCATATTACTCGATGGATGTTGTCTACCTTTTGAGGAGTTTCTGCACGAAAAAAGACGTCTGTTTATATCCTGAAACCATGCCAAGAAACGGGCCAAAGCTTTAAAGAAAGTTTACGAGGAGGTAACCTTTTTTAGAATTAAAAAATACTTTGAATGAATAAAAAATTAATTACCGAATTCTGCTTTCGTAAGGTGAAAATGCGCCTTCAGCCTCGGTTGATAATATCCACTACCTCGATCTGCATAATTCTTCACGTCACACTCAGCCTTATTTAATCATTGCTAAAATAGAATTAGGTCACAGCTATAATTCATGTCAGTATCATTTACCTTTGTATTTTGTATCAGTTTTGCAAATGCAACTGAAAGATCCATGGATATTCTCACAATTGGACGCATCGCCACAGTTGTGTAATCCGTCCTTACATTCATTGATGTCTACAAGGATGAATAAAAAAAAAACAACAATGAAAAACAAAACAAAGCAAACAAAACAAAACAAAACAAAAACAAAAACAAGATATGAAGTAATGATCCGGGTAAGGTGGATATCAATTTCTTTTGTTATACGGCAACGGTGCTTTCCCCACATAGGAATGTTCTCATTTTTACACAGAGAATGCATAAACCTACATGAAGGCCGTTTACGCAATAAAATGCATTTACACTCCACTTTGAAAGGGTGTTTTTTTGTGT